AATCCTGAAGGCTGGTGCTGCCACAATAAAATGGTGGAACCTGTGCCATGGGCAGCCAGGCCGTTCCTCAAAACACACGTGCAACCTGCCAGACCACCCAGCAGCCACACCTGGGATACTTACGCAAGAGAGTTAAAGGCAGAGACTTGGGAAGATATTTATAGCTCTGCTTACGGCTCAGCATCATTCCATAGTTGTGTAGGGCGAGGGAGGAGTCCGCCGATGACTGAGGAAAGGACTCTGAATAACCCCGTATCCGTAACATTGTATCAGACAACCTACGTGCCGGAGGGCCATGGCTGCAAGACTGCATCATTTATCTGCAGCCTGTCCTGCTCCCTTTTTTTTCCTTTTCCTTTCTGGTAGCCCATAGGTTTAGAAAAAGCATCCCGAGAGAGAGAGAGAGCAATCCTAGAGGAAGTTACAGGTCGTGTTGTTTACCGCAGCCGTGCTCTAAGAAAGCACAACCCTGCTGTCCAAGAGCAGTAAGTCAGGAGCCCTGCGTGGACAGCGGGCGAGCTTTGTCTCACCGCTGTTTGCTGCCGGGCAGAGCTCTACCCCGAACCGTATAAAAGTTTTATTTCCTTCTGAGCCTGTGTTTTCCTGCCTGACACCTCATCACTCTTTCCCAGTCCTGCATAGACAGCTCATTCTGGTAGCAGGCTGCCTAGAATGTCCTCATGCAATGACCGATGGCTACACAGGTCCTCCTAGGCTCTCCGGGTTCACCCCGGGAACTTCAGAAGGCCTAGATTTGTAACCTGTTCCACGAGTCTTTAATTTTTTCCCCGTTGGCCTTCTAGATTATTATCGATTTTCCCCTGTAACTTACTAGCTTCCTTTCAGTTCCTATTTGTCGGGGCTGAGTCAGAACGGTCCTCTATCTTCTCCCATCTTCCCCTGAGAAGTTGCTGAGGTCAGTGGGAAAAAAAAAGGTATAGAAGTCCCACCTGCAGACTTCCTTCCTGCTGGCCACTGAAGGTGAGTCCTAGACTGCCTGTACGTACCAGACAACCATCAGTTTCAACAGGGGATTAAGTTAACAATAGCTCTTTGGAAAAATAAGACAATCACTGTCGTAAATGGACACTCCCACTTTAGGGGTCGTTCCGGAATCGTTAAAATCAGGAACAGGCATATCTGTGGATCTGAACAAACACGCAAGGCAGTGCGAGATATGAACCCGGAGGAGTCTGATGGGTGAAAGAGAGAGGAAGGAGCTCCAGGTTTATCAGGAGCAACAGGTCTCCGGATGCGGCCTGTAAACTGGAGACCCGTGACACCCTATCAGCCTAATGGGCACCCATGTTCCAGATACCTCAACTTGGGCCAATAGATGCTTTTCTTAATAACACATTATCGCAGGATTGATAAGAAAAAAAACCTCTGTTCTTAATCTCTGCAACGGATCCTAAACATTTTTTTAAAGGTCTGTCTTTTTCAAATCCGTACATTGAAACTGGGGAAATGGTTTTTGTATTATGGATGAATTGTTGATTATTATTATATGTTTAATCAGCATATCAAATTGTACAAATGTATGGGGACTCGTGTGACATTTGGATACATGTATACTTGTGTAACACTCAAATAAGGGTAAGTCTATCTAACTCCATAAACAGTCATTCTTTTTTTTATGGTAAAAACATTCAACATCCTTTCTTGCCTGGTTCTACCAGGGAAATATACAGTGTGTTATGACTGTGTACAGTCACTTCCCAGCATACATCCCACCAGACCTTATTTCTGTTCCCTACCTGTAACACAGTACCCACTGATTAACCTCTCTCTATAAATGTGTTATCCAAGTTTCTCAATCTTCCTGTAGAATTTGTTTGAGCGACATTTTCTTTTTTTCAGGTGACTCTAGATCTCTTGGCATTTAGAAGAGAAGAGAGGTTCAGTTAAATTTAAAGCAACAAGTCGGATTTGTTCTTTATTTACACAGTCAGCAGATGTAAAGTTATAATGCTAACACCCTACAGTGGAAGAATTTCAACGAGGAAATGAACGAACCACGGCACTGCAATTTTTCAGTGGGAGTATAATTGAGCCATAAATATTTGACAAGCCTGTCTTTTTGTAAAAAGACAATAAACATATTGCATAATAAAAGACGCACTGTGTAGGGTTAGATATGGACATATTTTGTAGATTGCATAACAAAAGACACACTGCATAGGGTTAGACATGGGCATATTCCTAGAAATGACTGCATCACATCAAACTCGGCCGCTTTTTCTACACTGCTTAAGATCTCTCAGGAGCTTCCTAGTGGCTTCAGTCTGGCTTGTGGGTGCAGGCCGGGGGGTATTTCAAGAGCCACGGTGTGAAGTATGGATGTTGGTGTTCCCAGCCACACTGATGTCTCTCAAGCCACCATCAGTTTTCACGTGTTGGCCTTATCGCCATCTTGTATCACCTACCAGCCTAAACTGTCGCTCACGACCTCACATGGAGTCGCACAACTGAGCGTGTGTGTGTGGGGGCATGGAAAAACTCTGGCAACAGTAAACAGTTTCTCAAAATACAATGAGCAGAATTAGTGTAAAACCGAATGCGTGGTAAATCTGGGGTGTTTCTGGCCTTGGTTGCTGGTGTTGAATCATAGCGACGTCACTCCTTGGCTCTCAGCATGTAGCATGAACTCTCTGCGCTGTACATGATGTCCCCGGGGTCATGTGATGATAACTAACAATGATGCTGCTTGAAACAACTTGACTTACGGTCAAGATGATGGAGCGTTACGAATCTCAGTGCTTTTACTGCACGTACAAAAATTCATTCTTACAGAAATGCAGTGGTTTTACTTATAAGACACAAAAACTCGGGGGATGGGGGGGCGGCTGGTGGGATGGCTCGGGTATTAAGAGCAACGGCTGCTGCCCCCGAGGACCCTGGTTCAATTCCACTGTCACCCTCCTTGGCCTCTGCAGACGTGAGGCACACACTTGGGCACAGACATACATGAAGGCAAAATACCCCGCACAGAAAAACAGACAAATTAAAAAAAAAAACAACCCAAACACCTTTTTAATGCTTTCCTATTGTCATTCCTCAGAATATAAGTATCGGATTAATTCAACTGTAGGTTGCATTATGTTAGAATCTTGATTTTAAAAAACTATTTGAATCATTATATGAAAGGAATCTGGAACTACAACAGAATTTCCCAGAACTTCTCACATGGTTCTAAACGTGTTTCTGCCATTTGATGCTATGTGGGTATATGAAAGAGCATTAAATTTTGTTTGCTTTCTTAACTTGGACAGGGGAGTATTTAGGGATTGTTTGTTTGTTTGTTTAAGAGGCAAAGGGATACTAGGCCATAGAGGAAGACTCTCAGCATCTGCTTCTCGTTAACTGGGGTGCCACTGGGTACCATCTTCCTCAGGAGATGCCGCAGCCTCCCGAGGAGGACCGTGGGTTAAGTCGCCCTGTCTTCCCCGTGGCTCTCACTTCGATGCCCTTTATGTTTCTGCTCATTTCTTGGTAGTATTTAGTCCCTTCTCCTGCCCACAAGCATGAGCATTCTTTACATTTCCTTTTGTAAGGAATCACAGATGTGCAAATCTCCAGCCACCTGCTGGCTGTCCACAGGAATGACGTTCACAGCACAGCTGTCATTTCAGCCAGGGCCGAAAGGTAAACACGGGGTTAGCAGCCCAGCTGCCCATCAGGTTGCCTGCCTTTTATGAGTGATGTGTCCTTCACATCATCAATTTCCCTCTCTAGTCTCACTTTTAGATTTGAACGGTGATACTCTGGGCAGCTTGAGTTGGTTGTGGATCTTCTGCAGCTGTCCTGGTTTCACCTGCTAGACTCTTCCATTTAAGATTAGCAACACCATCCCCAACAGACGCTAAAAAATGCCATGTATCAAATGCCCCTGGTACCCTCCACACACCCGTGTGAGCGCCCCCCCCGGTACCCTCCCTGCATCGGTGTGAGCGCCCCTGGTATCCTCCATGAACTGGTGTGAACGCCCCCCTGGTACCCTCCCTGCATCAGTGTGAGCGCCCCTGGTACCCTCTGTGCTCTCTGTTTACCTCTGGTGGATTCCTGGGAGCTCAGTGCTCAAGCCCCTCCTTTCTCACTTGGATCCCTGCTGCGTCCTTCCCATAAAACTGCCCAATAAGATGCTCCCAAATAGACACACCTCCTAGCCCCTCCAACTCCCGGTTAGTCCCTGAAGATTCCTGGAATCCAACTTACCAGCTGCCTTCCCCACCTGTAGCCCCACTGATGGAGGCCTGCCAGACTCCCCTCCTCATGTCCTGCCCAGCCTGCCAACTCCCAGCCCGTTTCCCCATCCAACTTCTCCACCCTAGGCAAGTTTGAGCCAAGCCCAATCTGAGCTAAACCAACAGGTTCAGAAATTCCTCATCAAACGACTACAGCATTGGTCAGTAGAGCGAGAAGATGAAGACAGAGGCACTAGGAGGCTTCAACCGGATTTCTGGAGACATGGGGCCTTCTGGACCCCTTCCTCCTTCGCCTCTGAGTTGTTTTCTTTTACCCTTCCATTGAACGCTATGAGGTTTTTTCCCCCTCTTCTCCAAAGGTGAAACTATTACAGTTGAAGTTTCATTTCCTGCTTAACGTGTGAATTTAAAAAGAATAGAAGGGGAGGAAAAAAAAAGAGCCCTGCAGATTTAACGATGCATTAAAAATAGCCATGTTGTCTTAAAGTCGTTAAGTGAACATAACGGGCCCTTTGTGATCTCAGGCTATCTGGAAGCTGGCATCTGTCACCGCCCTCTGTCTTCATCCAGAAGCCAGGCAGTCAGAGCAAGGATTCCTTGCTTAATGGCACCTTGAGAGTAAGTGCTCCCGCGTGCCCATCAACCCCACACTCTCAGCAGCTGTCACCGAGTGACTCCGAGTCCCTCCTCCCTCCGCCTGCTTCCCGCGTAACCAGGTCTGTGGTGGTGGCAGGAGAAGCTCCTAGGGGCGGTGTGTGCTGCACGCCTGCCCGTCCGGGCATCCAGGCGCCTCACCTGGCTTTGCTGTGCCCGTTCCAGCACTCCTCCTCGTTGGATGTGCCCGCAGTCACGCTTTCGTCCTTGCAGATGGTGTAGGGCAAGGCCGACCACACCTTCTTAGAGAGCTTCAGCTTCTCTTTTATGTCTGTGACCTGGTCAAGAAACCAAGGGAAGAGTGTGAGGGGACGCTCTGGCTTTGTTTGCCTCTCCACAGAGGACAGGGCAGAGTGAAGACAGCAGACCCATGACACAAGAGGAGCAAGCCACCATTTCAAACAGAGTGAACCCGGGCCTAGAGGACTCATTGCCCAGAAAGACTTCAGCCTCCTGTCCCCGCCTTGTTCCTCCCTCTTCTCTGTCCTGTCCTTTGAGTCATGTCTTGCCTGGTTTGGGGCCATTCTATTGCAGAGAGTACCTGTTGCAAACACCCTAAATACATGGTTTGGGATATGTTTCCTGAATGCCGCATAAATGTCCCATAACAATGCACAAAGAGATAAGCACATTGCCCAGTGGACTATCTGTTTCTGCAGGAAATAAACACTGCTGCTAGTTCAGCTGCTGACACTCTCTGCTCTAGTCCAGTCGACATGCTCATACAGAATGCATTTGGGTGGTGAACAGAAAACTCGATCCACCTCGGAAATTTTAGCACCCAAAGATGACAGTCAATCCAAATATGAGCATCGATGTAGCTCTGAAGGCTGTAGGGGCTTTTAGTACCAGCGTTTCCAGCTTAGCACGTACTTCCTACCCATGGGGATGGGAGGGATAAAGATTTGATGTCCTTTTGGCTCCATCATGAATACCCAATTCCATTCATTTCATGCTACGGGTGTCCTGGTTGTCTAGCCATTATTTACAAACACAGAAAAGTCATAGAAGGATAAGATGCATCAGTTACAGTTTGCCTTGGGTACACACAAGTTGGCATTTGTGAGGTCCTGACCCAAAGCACCATAGAATACGTCATAATTTAGAGATGGGGTCTTGACAGAGGTCAGGAAGTCAAAGTGAGTCCGTTCAGACAGACTCAGCATCAGGAAGCCTGGATGGAAGATGGGGACACAGAGAGGGAGAATGAAGGCGTGACACAGGAGAAGATGACCGTGTGGAGGCCCCAAACCCATCCTTTCTGGCCGCCACAGAAGGAACCAACGCTGCAGACACCTTGACATCAGAATTCTTGTTTATGTGGCTTTCAGGTAGACTCAGACTCAATGCTACGAGCTGCCAAGAGTCCGTATGTCACACGGTCCTCATCACATTCCAGCCGGCAGCTTCCTTTGCCCCTTCTCATCTCTATGGCTTTTTGAGGTGAGGATGGGTTTGGAAATGATCTCATCCTCAGTGGTTGGAAATGACTGACTGACCATTCATTTCAGTTTTTGACTTGGGGAGCTCAGAATTCTAGCTTACAGAAAAAAATAACCCTGATAAACCCAGGATGAGTGGGTGGTGAGTCTTCACGTACTGTGTTGGATAAATATCCACCAAGATATTGGTTTTAATCACCCCATCTTGTTATGAGTTCATAGACAGCATTGCAGGCACTACATGACTGGAGGTCATGATGACGTGTGTCCTGCATCTCACAGCGTCTGCAGTGAGGCTGGGGACCGTCTCTGGCCGGGCAAGGAGCCCTCCTGAGGCCTGGGTGTGGCTCCTCCCTGACTGCTCACTGCACCACGTTTTATAACCAGGGCGTGTTCTCCCCGGCATTTTGGTAGCTGTGCGTTTTCATTGTGCAATTCAAGGAGGTGACACAGCAAAGGAGCAGTAAGAAATGTATAAGTTGTTTTAACATTCTGCACGAACACCAGGCGATTCACCTGCAGCTCGCAAAGCCAAGGCGGACAGCTGAACACAATGGACGCTGTTAACCACTGGGCAAGAACACTCCTGTGATTTTAAAACGTGCTGGAACGACGTGAGTTCGTTTTCGGTTTCAGGGAAGTTTTTCCTACTCCTGCTTGCTGTTTTGATTTCTGAATTAAATGCTATGAGTGCTCTGCAGTAGTTCCTGACCTGAGCTTTCTGTTTTGTTTTCCTGGGAGTTAAGGGCCTGTCACCGTAAGCAAAGCATTATGTTACAAGTACTCCAGAGCAAATGTGTTATGGATGGCCACATCAGCCTGGTTCCTTAGACAACACAAACTGAGTGGAAACAGAGGCCTAGGCCTGAGGTCTTATAACAGTCTCCTTTCTTTCCTTGTATCCCCGATGAGTTTCTCTAGGATGCATCCATCACCACACTGGTTTGGCTCAAAACTATAGGAAAAATACTGCCATTACAGCGGCGTTTGCAATGGAGAAGTATGAAATAGGTTTTTGCCTATTTTATTGATATTGTGAAAAAAATCTCTTGTTATTTTTAGTATTCAGGCATCTGTGCTGTCCTGTCCTTGGGGTTCTGACGGGATACACCCTCAGCTGCCGCCACTAGGAGCACCACCTGTGCACATTCAGTATGTTCCCTTTTAAAAGGGCCCTGCCCACCTCCCATCTTTCTCTCTTTCTCCCTCCCTCTCTTCCTCTCTCCCACCATTCTTGTCCCCAGGGACTGGTCAGTCTCTGTATCCCTCTCTGCTCCCTTTTCTGCCTCTTCTGTCTCCTCCTCCAATAAACCTCCTACATGAGTCCTGTTGTATGCTGCGATTTCTCTTCATGGCGTTTTTTAAAAAAATTACAACAGTTATTCCATAGGAACTGGATCCAAACACGCACAGTTGGGGTTCACAGAGAAAACCCAAGCCATCTTTTAGGACGTTTCCAGAGTTTGTTTTTGACAATTTGACTACTACCTCTCTAGAGCCGAAAGCCCACGGGGAAAGTCCACTGGGAAGCCAGTGGAACCTTCCCTCTCTCTGCCCTAGTGCAAGTCAGAAACTCACCGTATAGGAAGCAAGACCATGAGGCAGAGATAACCACTAAAGCCAGGCATGAGCAGCATCAAAGACTAGAGAGGACAGACATTCGCCCTCCTTAGTTTGACGGCTTGACTTAGGAAACGAGCTCACCTCCAACATCAAACACAAATTTCACAAAATGCCTGAGTTAGCTCCCAGTTTACAGAGATACTGGGGACATAGAGGAACGAGCTGAGCAAGAGCATAAATAAATGATCAGACACACCCAGTGAAGGAGACATTATAGAAGACAACTGGCCTCAGGTCCTCAAAAGAATGCGAATAAATAAATAAATCAATAAAGGCAGGAAGACTGTTGTAGATGAAAAGAAACTCTGTGAAACGTACCAACCAAATGTCACACGGAAGCCTTGCCTCAGTGCTAGATCTGGAGGCAGGAAACCCAGCTGCAAGAGAGAGCTTGGAGATAATGGGGCAATTTTGAATATAGGACAGATACTGGTAGAGGATATTGAATTACTGCTAAGTTTCTCAAGTAGCTGTGAGGGATTCTCTCCTAGGTGGCTCATGCTGAGATATTTAGGGATAAAATGTCCTTATGACCTTTACTTATTTGAAAAGAGCAAATAAAACTAAGGTCTTCAGTTTCTATTGAGTCCGGAAGGGAAGTATACTAATGCTGATTTTCTTTGAAGTCATTTCGGAAGTGTTTTAAAAAGTGAAAAAAAAGATGAATGTGTGTGTGTGTGTGTGTGTGTGTGTGTGTGTGTGTGTGATGTATTGTCAGACACATAGCTGTTAGGAGTCTACCTAGAAGTCACTGACTCACAGTGTGGGGTGACTGACTGTCATGGGAACTAAGCCACTTAAACTCACTCTTCACAACTCTGTTTTTCTGAACTATTGTTGCCACACCCTCTGCACAAGAGGGACACAGAGGTCTTGAGCACCTAGGACATCTTGTCATGTATCCAGTAAGTGGTAGAGATGAGACATAGTTTCAGACGTAGACTGAGTAGTTATTCTCAAAGCCTGTGGCACTAGGGGTGACATTCCTGTGCATGTGTCTGTGGAAGCAGGGATGACTCACCGTGCTCAGGCAGAACACACTGATGCTTCTGTCTCTACTTTTAAAGTATTAAAGTGTAAGAGGAGTCACGTTTGCCTAATATTCTAGGTAGCGATTAATATTGCAGCCAGGCCACGAGGAGATGACATTCCCCAGCTGTGAGATGGTACTGAGAAAGTCTTTTCCACAATCGGAAGGCAGAGTTGACACAGTACACGTGTGGACCCACGCATGTATGGATAAGACCCAGTGGTTCTCATCAACTTCTTAAACGGGATAGTGAGTTAAAATATATTTTGAAGAGAAACTTTGAACTTCTTTCAAACCACGAAAGCACATGAGAGCAATGAAATGGTTGGTTGAATGCGTCACTGTTCCCTTGGTAAAAAATTTGTCTTAAGAACCTTGCGGATGTCTCGAGCTATGCACGAGTCCTATGTTATGCTTTTGTTTTGTTTTGTTTTAGCCCCCACATACATACCTGTGATAAAGCTTAACTCGCAAATTATTCATTTTAAGAACTGATAACAAAATGGAACCATTACACAGCATATTATAATAGAAGTTAGGACATAATATTTCTGGTGAGGTGAAGGGTTCATGCGTTCTGCAGTCTCCAGCTACTGTGGAGTTTTTTATGGTACATGAGAAGCAGCATCTGTTGTGAGCGTTGTCTGATCACAGTCATTACGATGTATCATTAGGTACCGGATAATGGACATTTCCTGTCTTAGGTAAGAGGGACCAGGCCAGTGTGATAGGTCATCACCCTACTCAGAAAAGTGTGCAAATCAAAACTCGCCAATTGCTTATATCTGCAATTCTCCATTTAATATTTTCAAAACATAATCATATACTAGTAACTGACATCATAGAAAGTGAAATCATGGATAAAAGGAACTACATTCCTCTTTTCATTTTTAAATTTTTTATCCCGTGGGTATAGGTCTTTCATCCGCATGTGTTTCTGCGTGCAACATTCGTACTTGCTGTTCATGGAAGCCAGAGGACAACATTGGATCACCTGGGACTGGAGTCACAGGATGTTGTGAGCCACCATGTGGGTGCTGGGAATTGAACCTGTGTCTTCTGGAAGAGCAAGCTGTGCTCTTAACTGCGGATCCACCTCTCCAGCCCTAAGACATCAGTGTACGTAATTTGTGGCATTCCACATGACACTTAGATACGGGTTTGCATCATCTCATGATCAAAC